CAATATCAGAGTATAAATTACTTTAAATTTATTGAAAATTACACGAAATCTAAGTAACGCCAGTAAGTGTCATTCCAGTAACGTTTGGAATCGACCAAACAGTACAGTGTCAATTCATTCTTTGAATAAAACCTAAAATTTTATAACCCCATAACGATATTGTGATAACCTAACTAACCTAGCCATTATATTGTTAACAATTATTTATATTAATTTTAATTATTAAATGGAATTCAATGGAATTGATACTAACTAATTTCTATACTGTTATCCAAATTTCCTCCAAATTTGGGTCAAATTGAATGCGCCATTTCAAACTATAGGCATATCAAATAACACATTTCCTGTTCTGAAAACGTAAGTTTTTTTTTTTTTGGGGGTAGTAGATAGAATTTGATAAAATTTATGCCTATTTCATTTTACGTTTACCAATCCTTAAATTCCCTAAAAATTTGAGCTTAATCGAATTTGCAGTGTTAGAGATAAAGACGTGTCAATGAAAACACGTTTGCGCATATATAAGAGAAAGCAACGGATTGAATTCAATAAAATTGACCATACATCATTTTTCACAAATACCTACCGTTTATCCAATTTTGAGCCATAATTAATTAGCTATTTCTTAAATATTGGGATATCTACAAAAATGTGTTTGCGTGTGTAAGCGGAAGTGCTGGTTAGAATTTAATAAAATTGATATGGGATCATCTAGACAACAAGCCGCACAATTCATGAAAATTGTAAGAACGGTAGTAGGTGATACGCCCGTTACATCGATTTGACTACAGACAGACAGACAGACAGACCGAACCAAATTTGACCCTCTGAAGCGTAAAACGCGAGTGGAAATTTTCGATTTTGAGCATAAAATTTTTTTTAACCTCTCGCACGAATACAATGCTTCGCTACCTTCGGTAATGAAGAAAAAAAATTAGTAAGCACTCTTAACTAATAGTATTCTGTTTATTTGGAGATTTCGGAGATACTCTGTCCTCTTCAGTACCTAGAATTACATAAAAAATAAATTATAGGTTCTATATTAAACTAGTCATTTACTACATACTTATATATATATTTATATACATACTCACATAAGAATTAAAATTACATATTATTTATAAAATGAAATATTCTTAGGTAATAAGTCCTCTGAGAAGTTTGGTCAACGATCGAAAATTCTGTCTACTAAAAATACCAATATAAATTTAGGAATGGGTGATGTGAATTCAACAACTTCGATTCTAAAATGTTTGAGATGCAATATCTTCCATTACTATATCTTTTATGTATAAGGTAAAAGTAAGTAAAAGGAAAAATATTAAATATTTTCAACCAAATATTTGTAATATTATTCGCATGATATAAAATACATTAATAATTCAACTATAGTCTATAATTATCTACCACTGATACCATTCTTTGGAATGGCTGTCAAAGAACTACAAGGAGATCTTGCCCTACATATTTAATAATATCACGAATTGTTTCAGCGGCAGAAAATGTTTTTTCCTGTAATGCCATTAAAATTACCTTAATTTCGTAGGCCACTGTAATGTTTCTTCTTTGGAACAAATAACTAAACTGAGGCTTTTTTATAACAAGTCGAATAGGATTAAACAAGCTTAGAGAATGCTCTAGAGGGATTATTGAGTATTGGTAAGTATTGAATAGGATTAAAATATTTACAGTAATTTGAAATCCTGAATTTAATAAAACGGTAATTTTTATATATATATCCTATTATTTGAAGTTTCGAACATGCATATGTGTTGGCGTGGGTATGAAATTATTAATTTTAGGAATTATTTTCAAATATTCTTAAACTATTTGCAATAAATATATGAACTTCAAACAAATTGCAAGTGTTAGATGCGCTAATCAGAAGCACATTTTGTATTAAATATCATTTCAAGAGTTATGACTCCAATATGTTGATTTTCAGTAGATACTAGACTTTCTTAACTTACCTAGCTAAATTATTATATCCAATGCCGACCCTTCTTTGGCTTGTTGTCCACTCGCAAGTGTGTCAAAAACTTCTTTCCGACAGGCTTCCCTATTAACTGTTCAAGTTAAATTGAAAAAGTATAATCCACGAGGGAAGAAAAGTCTTGGATCTGTACCTTATTCAATCCAGTTAGTGGTTTCTGCCACTGCTCTTCGAGGAAATAAACAAAAACCAGATACAATTTTGACGATACATGTGCCAATATATGATTTGAGAAATTATTTCTTGCTAAGGCCGATGTTAGTTTGATCAATTAATTAATTAAAGTCTTGACTTATGAACTGTTTTATAACGTTCACCTTTGGAATTCACAGGCGTTCTCGTGTTTCTCACTGGTACACCGATTTTGAAGGCTTTATCCTAATTCCCGACGATAATTAGTTCTTGGTGTTTTCCTCTTCCAAGTCCTAATAACCAAAAATCCTCCCTATATTATGGAACTCCTCACTCTAGGTTGCTCTATCTACTCTAGTATTACCAGATCTCAACCTATTGATTTATGTATCCCTTTTCATAAAACTATACCCTTCAACAAATTCTTTGTCATTAATGCTACCTCCTTCTGGAATTCTTTAACAATCCTCAACCTTAAATTCATTGAAACAACTCTTATCCCATCACCAACTTCATTTTCAAACTTCCACATCTATGTAATATTTATCGATTTCTGTAATTACAACTTCTCACTAACAATTAATCAACAAGTTTCATTTAATTTAATTTTGTTTCATTTATTTATTTATTTTTTGTTTGTATGCATGTAAACCATATAAAGTGTACTATTGTTAAAGTATTTACTATTGTTATTCAGGTATGATTGCGATAACAATTGAAATTAACATTTAAATGATCTCTTACTATTCTGTCAAACCAGAATAAAGTACCAATGTTTTGTACCATGTTATTATTATTCTTAGGGGACTTTAACCCCAGAATAAAATTATTTTTTCCTTCATTTTTATTCATTCATTCATTAACTAATCCCTATATTAATTAGCCCACTAGGATGATTTGTCCAATCCTAATCCTAATTTGTCCAATGGGAAATGCTCTTATTATTTTTTTTTTAATCTTAGCTTCATAAACAGAAAAAATACTGCGGAATTATTTAAAAATGAAGTCAAAAATGTTGTCAGTAATTTAGAAGTTGCTTCAACTATACAATCCAAACTATTTAGTTCAATCCACCTAGATACTTGAGGGTTAAATGATACAGTTGATGGTGAAGGTACAGAAGACCTAAACAACACGATACAGCAAATCGAGGATAAGCTAATGGATGGAGGGATGGTTAACTTCACGGATTAATTGCAAATATTAAAGTTTGGTATAAAAACATATTAAAGATTTGACCAACCTCTGTAATTCCATATTTATTTATTTTTTGTAATTAATGTATATTAAATCATTTTTATAAATATTGCGTTCATTTAAAACATTGGAAGAGAACACGTGGAACAGTAAAACTCTACTTTTAAATATTTTTCATTACAGTAAAATAACACTTTACCTTTATTGTTTAAACAATAATTAAGAAAAACGACGCAAAGAAAATCTGGAGAATAAATAATTATATCCTATCAGTTTGAAAAAAAGATACATTCAAATGTTACAGTGTGTTGTTTATTAAATGTTGAAAATAAATAAATAAAATAAAAAGGATATCGGCCTTCCAAGCAAGAAGAGACAGTCTTCTGCAAATGAAGAGTTGGATAGTTCTTGCATGCCTACCAACTAAGAGGTCCGCCGACCTGCGAAAGCTGCTTTCTCCAAAGAACAGTAAAACACATTATACAAGACTGAACTCCACTAAAAACTATCAGGGAAAATTTTAATACGTCACTAACTATAAAATATAATCTAAGAGGCAATGAAAAATCAATTAAACACATCATCATGCCTTAAAGCTGTGAAATTTTATAATATAGTTTGATCTGAAGGTGTTGCCAATGACCCTGCTGGGTAGAGGTAACTAGAAAAAATCAATAAATAAATAGGATATAAATTGTTTTTTTTATACACAAGTAAACTAGTCAAAGCTTGTATCTGCACTTTGTAATCAATGTATGACAGAACAATTGATTAAATATGAAAAAAAAAAAAACAATTGAAATGAAATAGTCATGAATCCCTGTTATAGCTGTATTCAAAATAAATGATTCTTTAAAATTAAATCTGTTTTTATCTGTAAGACCTATCCATCGTTATGTTTAAATGCCATGTAACTTGCGATTGTCATGAATTGAGGGGTTTCAGGCTATTCATGAGATGAGGTGCTACTTTTAATACGATAAAAGCAAAAAAAAAAAAAAAAAGAACTGTACCACTATGAATAGTGTTGCCCAAATGCGAGACCGAGACAAGTCTTGGTCTCGCAAACTCAGTCTTGATCTAGGTCTTGGTTTTGCGCAAGACTCTCTAACAGTCTTGCAGTTACCTATTAGCTTATTACTAGAGGGATATTACTGTATTTTTTTAGATATTAGAAACCTATCTAAGTCTGAATGAGAAAATAGAAGATTTAAATAGAAAAGTATACTGGTTACACCAATTATTTACATATAGTAACTAAAATAGTCAAGTATTAGTAACTATTTTGCCTCAATTTTTATTCTAAAATCGATTTATTTTACGAGTCTTTGTCTTGTTATTGCATAGATAGGCGGTTTTGGTCTTGGTCTTACAAGACCAAGACCGATTTTGGGCAACACTAACTATGGAGGATAATGGGCTGATTAATTTATAAGAAAGTACTGATTTTTGGTCAACGGTTGTTATTTTAGTTGAGTAATTTGGTGTAATTATTTATCTAATAACTGGATTGATAAAAATAAGGTTAACGTTATTTGAATAACGTTACTGGTGTATTTGCTGGCAGCGTAAAAAAAAAAGTACTAAACAAATAATTTAAAAGAAAATTTATTAGAATTCTGTATAAAAGTCTTGGGATGTTTAACATATTACGAAAAATTCAATTTCTTTAACTTCGAAATCAGCTCCTTTTAACTTTTTTAGTCGTTGGTTTACCTCTGAAGAGTTTTGCAATCGTTGCTAATAACTTCCAAACCGCATATAAAATAGCAGATAGTATTACTCCAACGAACAGTTTCACATCCAACAGGTGAAGCTGTATGTAGGATATACTCGCCGATTTCGGTGTCAGGACATTGGGATACTTCATTGCATGTTCAATCCAGTACGCTGCTGTTTTTACTGGTTCTTCTGGTTTGTCACGGAAGATTTTGGATCTTTTCATAATTTCTTCCTTATATCTGGAATATAAACGATCACATAAAAATTAATCGCGAGAAAATAACACAATTTTAATTTGTCCACAAATAATGTAACGCTGGTATCTGATAGTCTGTATGTATAAGAGGTGATACTACCTTTTGTTTGAGAGGACTTCCTTTATTGTGCTAGACACTCGTTCGTAGGATATTTCTTCAAGCCTGATCATTTTTCCAATTCCTGCTTCTTCAGCAAAGAAGAAGTTTTTGGCTTGGTCTCCGAAGAAGGGGACACCTATCACTGGGACAGCGAAGTGGACAGCTTCCGTAAGGCTGAGAAGGCCGCCGTGGGTGATGAACAGAATGCAGTTCTTGTGAGCTGAAATTTGTTATGGTTTAGAATGTCAAAAGGACTGTTTTAAAACATATCTATTTTCTAAATTAAGTTAACTATTGTAGGGCTACTTAAAAAAAAAAAACTATTGGTCCGCACATTAAAAAATCTGGTGCGTCCACTCACACGACTTTCCTACCTATTTCAGAAAAGTTATATCTTTACATATGTCCATAAAGAAACAAAAAAAATTGAATTAGATTTATTTCCCTGAAAATTGATTAAAGAAAAGATTTGAGTACGATTTATTTGATAAACTAAGGCAATGTAAACCGGCTTAAGGTAGATCAGAGTTAAAATTTCAATACCCTCTGATATTGCTGATCAAAAACTTTTTGACATAGCCTAATTTTGTCAAACAATAATTTCTGTTAAAAGTAGATGTAGGTGTGAAGCTTTTGTGATGCAATCAACAGATTTTCTTGCTTTCACTAACTTATCGTTTTTCTCTAACTCATCCATTTCTGACACCAGGATATGTACCCGTAATTTTACATTGGAAATTGAATAACTGTAACTTCGTTAATAGTTACCCGAAATGAACGATTTTTATATAGTTTTGTTGGGAATTTCATTACATTGGTTTCGGACTCAGGTGGCTTTGAAAAGTATATACCGTTGAAAACCGCATATCGGAAATTTGACCCGATCGCAATACTTTTCTTACCTGGTATTGATAGGAAAGTAAAAAAGGTTTGATATTTATTAAAGTGTTAATAATAATTTTTGACGTAAATCACTGTTATTTACAAATATCCCATTAATTGTTCATTTTTTTTTTTTTATTTAATGGTGTTTTCTAAGTATCTATTTATTAATTTATAAATGTTTTGGGCTCTTCAATCACTTGGACTCTTCAATCCAGGTATCTAAATATCTACTAAATATAAGTATTTAGTATTTAACTTACTATATTTTTAGTGTTTCCTGACTTTATTTTATTTCTTTAATGTAATAATATATACTCGGTGAAAGAAAATTTCAAAATGCATATGAAAATTTTAAAAATGTACTTAAAAATTTTTGTAATATCACATTTCCAGAAAATAATTTCTGTTCCAAGTAGCGCGTCATATTTTTTTCTTACAAAAAAATAATAAAATATTGATTAGTTTTTATTTAAAACAGGTTTATTATTATTATTATATAGTTAGTTTACTACAATCACATAACCTCAAAACTATATTAATGTTAGAACTACACGAAAAATCGCAACGGTGTGATATTTTAACTGATAACTTTTAATATTGTTTTTACATAAATAAACAAAGTATTTGAAAACAAAGTAATTGCAGCAAATGATACTTCAAGAGTCATAAAGAAGGGACAGGCCCAGTTGTTATTAAGTATTTAATTGTACATTATTTATATCGTTAATTGCACATTATCTAACTTCATTTATTTATTTTTTATGTGTGTATACTATTATTTAGTTAAATTGGACTCTATATTGAAAGTTTATTTAAAATAATTAGCAATTTTTTTATATCCAATCTAAAAATAGACTTAATGGTCTTTTGCACATTTTAATTAATTACCAAACTAAATATTTGTTGTGAACATACATAATATATCTTGCTGTGGAAACCATTTCTCCAGTTTGACATTAGCAGGTGGTTTTGGGCCTGTATATTCAACTTCCCATTTCATCAAAACCTTATGTGGTAGTTCCCGAAACGTATTCATAAATGCCTGGGTAATATTCTCATTATGTGGGTCTGAGACATTTATGTTGGAACCAAGAGAAAAGTATATTACGCCGTTGGTGCTTTCATCCATGATTTTTTGTAAATGCTGGAATAAAAAAAAAAAATACATATATATATATATATATATATATATATATATATATATATATATATATATATATATATATATATATATATAATGAAATAAAAAAATAATTTTGTAACAAAAGTTCCCAAGGAATAATAATAACATGATTCAAAACATTGTTTCATTAGTCTGGTTTGACAAAATCAAAAGAGGTAATTTGAATGTTAATTTCAATTGCTATCACAATCATGCTTGGAAAACAATAGTTAAAAACAAACACTATTACATTTTATATGAATTGTGTGTACACAAAAATAAAAAAAAATCAAATGGAACTTGTCGATTAATTTTTAGTGAGCAGTTGTATTCAAAGTACCCAATAAGTATTACATAGGTACGGAAGTTTAAAAATGAAGTAGGTGGTGGAATAAGAGTTATTTGAAGGAATTTATGGATGAGCGTTGCCGAATGGAAATAGGTAAAGAATTCCAGAAGGGAGTAGCACGAATGACGAAGGATTTGCTAAAGGATTTAGTTTTATGAAGAGGAATATATAAATCAATAGGTTGAAATCTGCTATTACGAGAGTGAAAAGAGGAACATAGAGTGAGCAGTTCCATAATATAGGGAAGATTTTGGTTCTTAGGAACTGGAAAAGGGAAACAACAAGAAGGAATTTTCATCTCGAAGTAGGATAGATCCACTTCAACTCGGTATACCAAAATGAAACATGATAACAACTGGGATTTCCAAAGATGAATCTTATAAAATAGTTCATGAGTTTTTTCAACTTCACCTCCAGTCTTTCAGACAGCCCTCCATTCACCAAGAACCGTAGTCGAAGTGGGGGGAAACAAGTGACGTTACAAGGATCTGTTTGGTTTTGTGAGGCTTAGAATCACGGAATCTTGTGAGTTGTTTAAATATAGTTATGGATTTTCGGGTTATCTGGGAAATACGGTTATTCCAGGAAATGTTCTGATCAAAGAGCACATCTTGTTGTTTGATTGTTGAGTGCTGTGAAAAATGGATGGGGCAGTAATTAAGGTAGAGTAGTATTGCAAAATAAGTATATATTACATATAGGTATAATAGTAAAAAAAAGAAAAGCTATAGCTATCTATAGCTCTCAAATTACAATCTGCACTGGAATGAGAATAAAAATGTCAATTTTGCGTCGAGATATTTAGTGTCATGTGGTTTCAAATTTTAACACCGAGTTTACATCTAATTTCAGTGATTATAATGAAAATATTATAAAATTAATTACCTGCGGTAAGGGCTTGTTTGGCAAAATATTAACTCCTCCAATCTCTTTTCTATGGGAAGTGAGTGGTTGAGGATATCCAACGGCAAAATGGCTATTGGTAAGGATCAAACTTCTATTGGCGAGAAGTTGGCTCAGTGGTGGTCTTGTCTCCCAGCCAGGATATGTGAAGTACTGATCCACGATTCTTTGCATCTCGAACAGTTTATAATAACCAATCAAAGAAGAAATTGTAATAACGTATGTGTTATACAATCTCTGAAAGAAGTTCATGTTCTCTGTCACTTCAGACTTAAAGTCAAGTTGATAGGAAGGATTGGATGGAAGCCCAGAGATTTCATTGACCCAGCTAAAGTCACCTAAAAACAATTTCAAAGATTCTTATTATCAGTGATTAATCATTTATTAATAAATATAAATGTGTTATCTTTAACAACTGCTTGAGTGACGATCTTTAAGAATGTTAGAGAAAAAAAGTGTATGCATATAGCGTCATTGTTAATATTAATGTTATAAAATTCCTTTACGATTTAAAAAAAAAGATAAGTAAACTAAAAACAATATTGCTGCAAATTATTACATGATTCTTTGTCTCGGAGGTACAGGACACCATGTCCATTTTTTTCATTAAATGATTTAGTAGTTATGAAACTAATTTTAATAGCTTAAAGTAATGGAACATTGGCACCCCCTGAACAAATACAGAATTGGGTTTATCTCCGAGGTACTGAATTATTTTCATACATTTATTATATAAAATAGAGGAATATTTTGTCTCCCGTTAATTTTATACAGGGGGCTAATGTTACTCAACAACAATGTAACCGCACAAATAATAATCAAGGAATCTAGTATTAATATTAAAGCCCTAATATATACTGTATTTTTTTTTCTTTAGATTTAACGTAATTCTTGAAGGAAACATCTTATTTATTATCATATATCGCATTATTACCCGACTAAGCGAAGCGACACTAGTGTTGTGTGTTTGGATTTTCCACTAAACTGTATAACGATTTTAAGCAAACGGTATGATTGATTTTTAAATTTGATATATCTAATTATTAGACGCAGATCTGTTACCAACAACTCCTTCTTGACAAACGTCTTACTTGGAATCATCATACTAGATTTAAAAGACAAGAAACTGCTAACAGATTCCGATTACTACATTACTTACTTGACAAATTCTCTAAACTTCCAATAATCTACAAAAAAACTGATATACACTTCCATCATTAAGCCCATTTGGATATATGGAATAGAGCTTTGGGGCACCACAAAACCATCAAATTCTTCTCGTTTATAATCACTACAATCCAAAATCCTTCGTAAAGTCCTTAATACTTCTTATTATGTCACAAATAAAATTGTTCATTAAGATCTCGACATTCCCTTTGTTGAAGACTCGGCCCAACCAAGAAGTTCCTCTTTTAATTCTAAACTCTTTGGTCACCATAACCCTTTAGTTCATAAAAATTCATCCAAAACAATTCCTGACAACCCTCCGAGACTTCTGAAAAGAAGATGGCCAAGGGACCTTCTAAACTAATTTTATCTTTGATGTGCTACCAATAGGTAGTTTCTTAGCAAGTTTTTATCACGTTTTAGCAGATTTACTTATTGTACATGTATACAGTTGTAAATATCAATAAATGTATAAATAATAAAATAAAATAAAATGTCTGATGTGTCGACTCACACGATTTTCCTACCTATTTCAGAAAAGTTTTTATATCTTTACATATGTTTATGGAGAAACAAAAAAGAATTGAATTAGATATATTTTCCTGAAAATTGATCAAACAAAAGATTTATTTGATAGACTAAAGCAATGTAAACCGGCTTAAGGTAGATCAGTGTAAAAATTTCAATAATTCCTAATATTGCTGATCAAAAACTTTTTCCCATAGCTTAGTATTGTTAAATTTGCTTGTTTGGTTCACTGAAAGGTATGTAACGATTTATTAAGCCAACGGCTTGATCGATTTTTTTGTTTTTAAATTTGTCAAGTAACATTTAATAAATTCGAATAACTATGCAATTTGATGAATTTCCTCTTGTCAAATCACATTATTGTACATTAAATGTAAATATTTTTAACATACAATTGGGTTCGTGTTACTTTTTTGCACTTAATATGTTTGTACAACGATTAATACATATTTCGAAGTTTAGTTATATGAAAAGTGTACTTAGTGTAAACTGTGTATTTTTTGGATTTGTGTTTTTTGCCATAAACTGACGATTTATCTTTTCACTCACCTAATGGTATGATTTCAATCCCGACACAACCGAACTTGTGTATTAAAGCACTCTGGTATTCTTGTACTGCGTATGACTCCATCAATACAGCATCGAAATGATCGTTTGAATGTATCAGTTTCTTTACAGGAGGAGCGTTCAGAATCATATGGGACAGTTTTATCCCGAACTTGTAGAACCGCATCGCGCTGTCGAAAGCTGTAGCACCAATCAAGTCCGTCACGTTTCCTTCAGCTAAAACATATATATATATATATTAATGAATTAAATGTGTAGCAGTTACCTTTAGATTAAAACGGTATTAGGCTACTTCTAATATGTTATAATCTTGAACCATGAACATACTGGCCTACTAACTTAGCAAATATTATTACAACTACTACTAATGCTACTAATAACTACTAACTTAGCAAATACCTTGTCTGGAATTCAAGAGCTATTTTATTAAGGAAAAAAATTAAATAACGAAAATGTTTTGAGTGAAAAATCATTTTTTTTTTTTTAATGTCCGTTTAGAATATAAAAAATACATTAAAAATGTATAAGTTAAACGTTAAAACTAGTTTTATAATAATATTTATCGTGTGAAGAAATTGTAATAAAATAGAAATATCATATTAATAGTAATTTTTTCTTTCAAAACACCATTTATATCTTAAAGAATTAGCTTTCAAGTTGAGTTCGTTTCATTGTATTCAGCTTGAAAAATATTATTTAAAAAAATAATTAACCTGATTGAATTCATATGATAGCAAATAAACTATCGTCAAACGAGATCTAAATCTATAAAGTAAACTAATAATAAAGCATACAAGAATTCTTCTATTTCTCCTTTTTGTTCGTAAGCTGTATGATATTTTTGGCAATGATAACTTCCACATACACAACAATTGATTTATTTGTTGAATTTACATGTTAACGTTTCGGCAAATTTACTTCCATCTTTATAACTTATAATCCCATGTTTTCTTGTCGATTCATGGCTAAAAAGGAGTATAAAAAAATAATGCATGTTACAATACATGTTAGAGTTGCGTTGTTACATTAATTTTGTAATTAATTTAACTCTGATGTGATCCTTTGTCATGTTTTAAATCTATGTTATAGATAAATTACAGTATATAATATCCAGAGTATCGACATCCCTATAGACCAATGATTGGGTGACTGCTATGGTGGAAACTATTGATCTATCGGTGTGATTATTTGTTTTTTACTATTGTTTTTAAATGATTATTTGTTTGTAGCTGTATTTCATTTTTATTTTATTTAATAAAGCATCATAATGTGTCCCCACATGTTTGGTGTCTGTTCTGTAATTTACTGTTGTTCTATTGTTCTAATTTTTTACCATTGTTTTTTGGTTCTGTGCCTAATATCTGTGGTTTATTGAAATTAAATTTGTGTTGTAATTTTATGCTGTGTTGTTTTTTGTTTTTTTTTGTCTATTTTTTTTTCTCCTCTTCCTCGTCTTTAAGGCTATTCGGGTTTTTTTCCGGACCAGAGGATGTGGACAAGGATTTAAAAGACTCCACCGGCACCGGGACGATATATATATATATATCGTACGTATAATATTTATCTGGCCATTCTGGCAGTGTCCCCTCCGTCGACTCAATCGAGTTCAAGGAGATAGACAAATAGGTCTAGATCCATGAATTATGGCTGTTCAGATTCGGAAAGGGAGCAAGGTTTCGGAATGGAGCAAGTATTTCATCTCCTAAGGAAGAATACCCACGAACAAAACTTCTGGGGAACACCTGACATCATGGAAAATCATATATTGATACCAGATTTCTATCAAAGTTCTCGTAATAAGCTCATCACTGCTACGTTCGGTCGGTTTAGTTACCTCCAGTAAATTGACGGGTTTCACATATCCGGAGAGATCTCGGGTAGCAGGGTTTTCCGCAGTAAACAATCATCCAATACGTAGACCATGTTTACTAAAGTTTGAAATTCATTTCAAAAACGATATTTGTGTTATTAAAGCCGTAGATTTAATTATCTGGCTCTCCTTAGCTGTTATCTAACCTATACATTCATTTTTAGAATTTTTTTGACCTTCCACAGATAACCTTATATCAGTATAAGGGGTCAAATAGTCATAATTGTTATCAAAAATATTTTAATTACTAAACAACTGATAGAAAATAAATATTATTATTAAGCTGTCAAATGTTTTTTGAAATATTCTTATAAATAACATAAATAAATAAATATAAATAACAGAATAAATAAATAAATATTCTTATAAATTTTGTACCCCGGAGGTAAAGGATACCATGTTCATTTTTTCATTGAACGATTTAGTAACCAAGAAACAAATTTTAATAGTTCAAAATGCTGAAAAATGGGCTCTCCTCAACAAATACAACAATGGTCATGGTGCCCTTTATCTCCGAGGTACAGAATGAATATCTTTCTTATACACTGATAGGCAAAAAATTCCACCCACTTGATTTTTTCATTGGATTCACTTCATTTCTGCTTTGGATTGGTATATTGTTTTTAATGAATAAATAGATAATATTTTTGTTTGTTTTCAATTAGGAATATTAATATAGAGGACAATAACCCTTAATACTTAATTCAATGAAATGATTCTAGATTCCAATGATTACTTTCTATGGAATCAAAATGTTTATTCAGTATCATTAGTTCAGTGCCGTTTCTTGCAGCCAATTTCTTAGTCTCTGGCTTTTAATTTTTCAATATTAACTTTAAAAATGTCTCTTAGTATATCTTTGCTGGAGGTTAGCCCATTCCTCCCGAAGAGCCTTTTCAATTTCCTACAGTGTATCAGGAAATGTTGCACGCGCTCTTATTCGTCTTCCGAGGTTATCCCATAAATGCTCAATGGGGTTCAAATCTGGAGAACGTGCTGGCCAGGCTAAAACCTCAATATTGTTCTGTTGAAGGAACGTCTGCACTATGCGGGCGACATGTGGGCGTGCATTATCGTGCATTAGAATAGAACGATCGCCAATTTCGTTGAGGATAGGCAACACATGAGGTTCCAAGATCATATTTGCATAGCGAATGACCGTCAAAGACCCTCCACGAACAACAACCAATTCTGTGCGGTGCTCCATTGAAATCCCAGCCCACACCATTAAGGAACGACGTTGGAAAGGTTGGCTCTGTGAAAAATTACTGGCTGCATATCTTTCGTTTCTTCTTCTCAACACCCTTTCACGCCCGTCTGGAGATCGAAGAGCGAATCTTGTCCCATCTGTAAAAAGTACTGTGGGTGGAATTTTTCGCCTGTCAGTGTATCATATGTGTTAATATGAAATAATTTCCTAATTACTCAGACAATATAATTTTTCGATATTTTGGCGCATCGGTCTGTAAACATTTTGATTAATAATTTTTTTTTTTATTAGAAAAAAAATATGTTTTGCCTCAATTAAGGCCATTAAGTATTTAGGATGTATGAAACACAAACATACCATATATACAATAAAAGAAAAACAATATTACAACAAAAAAACAGAAAAATTGGAATAACAGAATAAATCAAACATGAGACAACAATTTAAGAATTAATGTTGCAGTTAGTTGAAAATAAAATTTATAGAAAACCATTAGGAAAATTGGACTATCATTAATCAATTGAAAGTACATGTTTTTTTTTTTATAAAATTAAGATAATATTATTTTAACATTAATTTTCGTCAACCATTTTTAATGTGAAAAATCCAAAACTTTGAAATGAGCAAGTTTCAAGTACACTTGAAATATTTTTTCCTGACATTTTTACTAGCGTAGTTTTGCTTTAATGGCATGACATGTTTTGCTATGCCTGAAAACATTCTTGAATTAGCCATACGTTAAAGTACATCGACTCTCCTGGCCAAATATCATATTAACAATTATGTTTATTTATATAAAACTTATCAAGCATTATGTCTAACAATAAAAGAATGATACATAACTTATGTGTACATACCTGTCAGTATTACCTCCCCTTGTTTCACAAGTGGTATAGGAATCATCATTTTTAAAGAAATTCCCATTTCCTTAAATGAGTAACAGTTGGCAAATTTGAAGAATTAGCCTGCACAAAATGTTTTGTGTCCTTAAATGACAAAGTTAACAAAACAGAATAACTTTTGATCACATCGAAGACTGCTGAAAGGTAACAACTCGATTGTTATTAAACTGCATGACATCGTGATGGCTATATCACCAGTTTTGCTTAGTTAACAAGTTTATACAAAATAACTAACGAATATATTTACGTCAAGAATCCGAAACCGTTGTTTTAAACACAAATATATGTGTTTTATTTTCTTCTCGGACCAGGAACGGGATTTTCCTGGGACCAAAGGAGAAACCGGGTATTTAATGCCAGAGATAAATTCTCGTGGCACCGAGACTCGAATTGGCAATCTTCTGATTTTCAGGTTACCAAGCAATTCGTGTATTGCAAATACGTTAGGCCGCTCGCCACTACGACCTTTAAAAGAAAATCTATCATCCAAAAGTTGCTTGTCTGAAATCTGTGATATATTGATACGCACTATTAAAACGATGCTGTATCAGTTCGTAAACCTTGATGTGTGTTTAGATTTTGGATATTTGCGTAGATTATTGCGAACAAAAAAATAGTTACAGGTTCTTAATTTCATTGATAATTGATTCTTTCTTACATTCGTTTTTAAATTATAGCATACTTTAAACTCAAATAGTCTTGAAATAATAAAATCGACCACAACATGGTTCCTATTCGATTGGAAGTAAAGAAAGTAATCCAGTTTGCTACTTAACCCGTTTTATTTTTTCAAAAATGAATTATAATTTATATGACAATTCGTTAAGTTATATGATTATAAATAGAAATATATTTGTGTTTATATTGGCTCAAGAATTTTATGATGATTATTCAAAACGCTGATTCACTTCGGTCTCATAATATTTTTAATTGTATGATTTATGATAACGTTACTTACCTTCTCTGAAAGGCAAGTACTGTTTAATGTTGATCTGGGTGATTCCTTTAGGTGGGCCATTTTCATAACCGAACCCGGTAACATAGACTATTTCATGTCCTCTCTTAGTCAATTCTTCCATTATAGGCCTAAAGATGAAATGGTGGGACTTGGCAATGAGTGGAAAAAACGCCAGTATCCTCTTTGGGGTCACTTCAGCATAAAGCGTCGCCGTCAGGAACAGAACTAATAACCACTTCATGATTTCCTGTTTCTTATCTGCAATGAGTTAATTTGTTATAGTAACAAATAATGCATAAATGATTTTAGAACATGATTGGATTAAAAAAAAAATGTTGATTTATTGCCTACACTTTTTTTTTTAGATGTCTGTTCTATATTATATTTTTATATTCCTGTCCATCACATTGATTTATGTTATCCAATGATCATTTCTTAATAAATAATTAGCTGAGAAGACAGGTGTTGTTGCTAGTTTAACTTAAATACTGCAACACTATATTCAAATTATAAAAATAAATATACTTAATTATATTACCTTAATTAGCGGCTATAAAGCATCGTTTATATAACATTCAAATATCATACATCACCATCTAGGATTATTAATAATTTAACTTAAATTTAAGATAAATAAAAAAATAAATATTTTCCATTTCGTTAGTCAGTATTATTTCATTACTTTCTAAAGTGGTGTTTCTATATCTTTCTGACGTTTCTTTAACTTCTGCAGCTACACACTGTTGTGTAGCCCCTCCCTCCTTCATTTTTGCCGAGTTGCGCTCAGTAAACGCAAACTCGGTTTACCTCTGTCAAATCGATTCCGGTAAAGGTTTTTATTACAAATATGGCTATGTTCCAGGTAACTGCAAAACAAAATGTCCCTTCTTTATTCTGATAACCCGAAAATCAGTAATTCAGTTGTGTGAAATTATATTAAAATAGGTTCCAGCTGTTCCAAAGATGCATCCAAAGAAGGAGATAGCGTAGGATGTGCTTTAGCGAGTAAAGAGAACCACTTACTGTTTAAATTACCTGAAGAATGCTCCGTTTTCACAGGAGAGGCGACTGCCATCATGAATGCTTTATATCTTATAAGCGAAGCTAAAAAGAACTACTGGGTAGTTGTGACGGACTCATACAGTGTTTTAACTGCCATTGATAGTATCCTAGAAACTCTATAATTAGGGAAATACTAAACATTTGGTGGGAGGTAAAAAATAAAGGAATGACAGTTGTCTTGATATGGGTAACAGCTCATTGCGAAATTTTAGTTAATGAAAAAGCTGACAATGCAGCCCATTTATTAAGAAGTGGAGGAAAAGAAGAGGAAGTGACTAGATTGAAATATATCACTTTAACATGAAATATATACGAAACAATGAAAAAACAACTGAAAGAGTGGAGAAAAGAGTGTAAGCTGAGAAAAATAAAACCTAATTGCGATAAATGGCTCAATAGCACCAGGAGGTCCAGGCGTGAAGAAATTATACTGTGCTTCCTTAGGATTGGGTACTGCCAGTTCACTCATAGATGGTATCTTTTAAGAGGCCTAAAAGCTCCTACTTGCGAAAAATGCAATAATACACCTCAAACTGTGAAACACCTTCTGGTAGAAGTAGAAAGTCCCCAATTCGAAAGCCACTGAAAAAAAAATAGATCTAGGAAAACCACCAAACGGTATTCTACAAGATAATGTAGAGCTAGTTTCTACCGTGGTTAAGATTGCCAATTACTATAATAGAATATAAATTATAGAGAACGCCAAAGACCCTTTAGAATAGAGCCGAAAAAAAAAAAATATTTTACTGAAAAATAAATTTCATCAGATTTGTATTTTCTTATTATCATTATTTATAAACAAGTTTTAAAATTTGTTTTGATAGTGACGAGTAAGCTATGGGAATATAAGCATACAAAACATTATAATATTCTACCTAAATTTATTTTTGATGCCAATGTTCTGAATTTATATAATAAATATATGTTTTCCTATCCATTATAACTTGTTAGCTTTCGGTGTAAGGAGATAGTGGCCGCAAGGCTTCTTGGACTGTAAACATCAGCAGGCCTTCAAGTCGTGGGAAGAATTATACTATAGCCCATAGAGTATACATCACGGATTACTGCATATACTCCATAGATACAAAGATCACAAATAGCATACATCCATGAGGCGGTGCAGGTATTAGCAGGAGGGGCACCTGTCGACCTTCTCCTGCGTGAAGACACGATGAAACACATGTTTATGAAAAACGGCTCAGCCGGAAAATCTTAATTTGAAAATTGACGAGAATCCTTGCAAATGGAAAAACATTATACGGGACGGCACAATTGAGGAATGGAACCGGCAATGGATGATGACCACCAAAGGATCCAGGAAGTACTTCCCCATCGTTCGGTCAAGTTTTGAAGCAAAGTGGATCGTTCCGGACTATTGGCTCTCGCAATTTCTCACAGGCCATGGGGGCTTTCAAGCAAAGCTTCATTGCCATGGGATGGACATCGACCCCCTATGCCCTAGCTGCGGTGTTCCGGAGACTGCTGAGCAGATCATAGTGGACTGCACCGCCTTTGAAGAACTAAGGGCTAAGTTACTGACGGAAACCGGTCTCTACACTCTCACAGAAAACGATTTTCCTCAGTTAGTCACTGCGGGAAACTACCCGTACTACAAAGATTTTGCGTATGGGCGGAATGCCGGAATGGGACCAGCCAAGTGCAATTTAAGGAGAGGAGGAAGAGTTACTATACCATTAGCGTGAAACGGATGAGAAAAGCAACCATGAAGAAAGAGGAAAAAAATGAAGAAAGAGCAGAAGAACAAGATTTATTTGCAGCAGTGAGATGTAAAGCTGACTTGCCTTATCTTACTATTGCAGACACCCGTATTGCCTAGGGTTTTAAATAATTAAATAAAATACCCTTGAGGTACACCATGTGTACACCGAGAGGGTGCAGGTCTAAAGGTGGCAGCTCTACCAGTAGACGTATCCCGACGTTAAGTAAGGAATTGAGAAACCCTACAAAAACGCTTTAGAAATAGTTAAAATCCCAAGGAAAAACAGGACAAATGTCATTGGTTCATTGTTAAGTATTGGAACACGCTGTCATTGTAAAGACCTAGAGCACACAAGTAATTCCTAAATGAAATATATCTCTATACAATAAAATGGACACGGGTGCCATCCATGTCTATGAATAGGATAAGGCAGTGTTGAAAAAATAATTTATAGAGTTAATTGTAGTTGCAGCAGTCGGTTGAACAAACTACCTGAACAATTTGGGATCGCATTTAAAATCGTGAACTCAAGAATACTGAGTGAATAGTGAATACAAGAATGCTGAGGATTAATAGAAGTTCATAATCCTGAATGAAAATTTTCCAACAGAGGAGTAAAGGATGAGTTTTATGATATCCTTGAAGGTATAGTAAAATTTCTAATAATCTGTGATCTAAAAACGGCCAGTATTCTTTCCATGCCATTTGTTTGTTGATGTGCTGTTAAATAACTCGATGGATGCTGTAAAATATTTTATTCTGATAACACACATATTTCCTGATTATCGCCTTCGATATACACCATTCCTCCATGGAAATCTTACATTTTCTGAAAAACTGCTGGATTTCTTTTTCTGTCAGTTCCTTCAGAACGCAGACCGCTTTATCTTTCAGGAACAATGTTGAATGTTGGTTAATATTTTGACTTTTTAAATTCCATGTGTTAGTTTTTAGACCAATTTCGTTACATACCATATATTTCTATTATCTCTTTGTGTTAAAATTGTACCTTAAGCCACACCGTGTAAGAGAGACGAAAAGGGAAAAAGTAGTTATGAAAACTAAATAATAACAAGTTTTATGGAAGATATGGTTTAAAATATCTCAGAAACTCAAATTCGGACCTGCATACTGTAATCGAGGAAAATGTTATTTATTTAGAATATATATTTATATTATTAATCTCGCTTCGTTGATGTTTTCGATTTTATCGTGTGGTCTAAAGCACATACTTCAATTTTTTGCCTAGTGTCATTTTGAACATTGAAAAAAAAAACATCTCAAATGGACTGTTTTTAGCGAGAAAAGTCGTCTTGTAAAAATATAAAGTGTAATCAGTCAGAAATGATATAAAATAACTTCATTAATAAAATAACGTATTTCATGAAACAGTAGTTCTACTCAATTATACATCTTAATTACGTTGTTAGAATTTTCCAAAGGTTTCTCGCTAACTTTTCAAGCCTTTCAAAGATTCCGTGCTATTCACAATTCCGTGCCTATTATAAACTGCTAAAACTGTTGGAGCAAGACAGCAACTGTAGCGGCTTAAGTGGACAACATTGCGGTCTAAAGTAGCTCATTAAACGTTGGAAATGCTCAGCGTAGGCGGATGAAGCTTGAGAATTGTACTTGTGGAAAATTGGAAAGACAAAATGCTATTTTAATCCATTAAAGACTGGCTGTATTTATTTCGTGTAAAAAGATGAACTGATTAGCATTTCTGGATTAACGTTACTACAAATGGGCCGGCAATTGTATATTTTTTTGTGTGTGCTTTAGATAAGTGTGTGCTCTTATAGCTAAAGCGATATATTTCTCAAACGTGTCATTCATGCTAAAGCTCATAATGTTTCCTATCATAGAGATGCAGTACTCAGCGATAATATCGCTCATAAAACTACGCAGATCGAATTATTTTAAATAGAAGTAATCAATTACTAGTTATTTATTAGTAATATACTATACTACGGATAACTTATCCAGTTCTCTATTAATCACTAACACTCGATAAATTCTCTTCATGATTCTTGATGACTTTATAAAGTAATTTAATATAAAAGACGTAAAAGATGATTTTCAACTCTCATGTCCTCTCCATACAATACATTTATTCTCCAATCTGGAATCCCACCCAGCCACATCGTAACAGTATAAGAATTCCTTACATGACCTATACCACTTTCTAAGCACCCTAAAGCAATTCATCCTTCCGAAGTGAAATTTACAAAAGCTAATCCCCCGAAAATCTCCAAGATATCATATCTTTACCCCTCAGATCCTTCGACAACTTCGATCCAAAGCAGTCATATTCCTTACATATACCTTTTTTTTTTCCTTGTTCTTTCCTACCTCGTCTTTTAGACTATGCGGAATTTCCTCGGGCAGTAAGATGATGGCGGGAAATTTAAAATCCCCTCCGGCACGGGGGCAGGAACTCGTACCTTTTTCTTTTTTAA